GCACAGATGAGCCATGAGCGGGTAAATGTAGAAGCTGCTTAATAGTACAGAGGATTATTATAATAATGCTCTGTTTTAATTTTAATTTTTCACTTATTTAGAATTTTTTAATAAAAAATGTTTAGAAAATATAGGCTTAGTATTTTAATCCTCATCAGGATACATAGATAGCACTTTCTGGAGTTGTTCTTTGGTGCTCATTCTTTCGGTCGACACATACTGATTGTATCAAATGTGTTGACACTATGTCCCTAGCCATCTACTAAGTTAATTTGACTTATTTGAATACAAGGGGACTTCAAATAGTTCCTGGCGCAATGGAATTAAAGTGCAAATTTATTGTGGTACAAGAAAATGTTGAAAACCATGCACAGTTTTATTTATAATACGTATTTTCCATGAGCTTTTTGAAGACTCCCTCGTACGTGAACAGCAATAAAATAAAGGTCAGAAATTATTTTAAAAGTCAAAGACATTTAAAAAATGGAAAATGCACAAAAATGGAATTATTAAAGATATTGTGTTAAAATTATATAACCCAATATTAAACAATACACAAAATACATTTTTAAGAGGTTTTTGCCTTAGGGCACTTGTGCTTATTGGAGAAAGACAAAAACAGAGACAGTGAGAGGGAAAGTGAGAAAACACCATCACCGACAGACAGTCCAGCGATATAACTACTATGCCATCTATTGTCCCCACCAAATAAATATATGTGTATATATGTTTATTTATATACATATACAAGGGGCTTTAGAAAACTCATGGAAAAATGAAATTAAAGTACAACTTTATGTTGGTGACAGAAAAAAAAAGAAAAAGAAAAAAAAAGAAAAAGATTTATTTTGACCTTAGTTTACTTAAACACTACGTTAGGGATCACCTTTGATAATGCACTTAGCTATCTGCACCTGACTCTGATCCTTCATATTAATGACCAGATTTATTTATTTATGATTTTAGGTTGAGATTCGGTACACTGTGTGTGCGTTCACTGGAGATAGAGAAAGAGAGAGAGAGAGAGAGAGAGAGAGAGAGCAAGTGAGAAATCACCCCCAAGGGGAGATGGCCATGATGCAATCAACCCCTTCTCCAGGGTCCTCCTGGGATGTTGGCACATACACACATGTACTTGGTGTGATTTTTCAAGTGACCAGGTCCAGAACTCCAACTGCGGTCAGCCATGCGGGAGTCCAGCATCTTAATCATCATACCCTTGCTGGCCTAATCTTATGTGTATTTTATTTTTTTTGAATGTCGGTCACAATATTTCTTTCCTTCTAGACATTGATGGTACCACGGAATGCAGGGGTAGAGAGAACATCCTTGCCTCTCTCCCTCTTTCCTACTGGTCAGGCAAATCCCCCAGCTCTATGCCTATCTACTACTGTCGCTGAACATAGCTGGGTAAAAAAGAACACAACCTGATGATTCATGCTACTTTAAATGTACAACTACAAACATCAAGCAGGCTGTGTAGTCATCCTATGTTTTCCCTCGCAGTCTCTAAACCGCCTATAGATTTTTCTCTCCCTGATCTCCACACCTCCTCCTCTTCCACACTCTCAGCCAGTGTCTATCTGTATTCTCTTTATCCATATACAGAAGCTATAGATAATCACCCGTTCTTCCCACCAGAAAATGTTCCAACCTACCCACATCTGTATTTATAAACTCTGTCTTCCTGCCTATTCTTCATTTGTGTACTGAATCTCAACCTGTCCCACCTTCTCAAGAACTTTGTTTGAATTCTCTAGAGATTAGTTTTCAATCCCCCCCTTTTTTTTCTATAAACAATACTTCTTAGGGGTTCTCATCTAGTCCCTTTGTTTTAAGAATATACTGGTGTCTCTAAGGATAGTGATGCTGTGTCCTTAACACATCTATTTCTTGCCCTGGATGCTCAATTCATGAGCAAGCCCACTAGAGCTTTATCCTCAAAATATGTCTTAGAAAAAGTATTGCATGATACCACTTACACAGGGTAATTAGAAGAGGCAAATTCATAAAGACAGAAAGTAGAACAGTGGTTACCAGGAGACTGGGGAAAGGTAATGGGGAGTGAGTGTTGCGTGGGTACACAGTATTGATTTGGAATGATAAAGTCATGGAGGTGGATGATGATGAGGATAGCTGCCCAATGACAATGTGAATGCACTTAATGCCACTGAATTGTGCACTGAGAACAGTTAACATTTACTGTCATACATATTCTTTTAGAAATTGATGTAGAAATATCTTAAACTACTTTCTAAAAAATAATTATTTGTTATTATTATTTACTTTTTAATTTGACCAGAGAGAAAAAGAGAGGGAGAGAAGGAAAGCAAGAAAGCAAGACACCTGGTCTGGGATTCAAACCATGGTTGGCCATGTGGGAATCCAGTGCCTCGACCACCACGCCACCAGCTGGACCACTGAACTACTTTTTACTACCTCTACTGCTGTCATCCTGATTCAGACCACTATCCTCTCACCTGCACTATTGTAATGGCCTCCTGAAAGCACCTCCTGGCTTGTAATCTTGTCGACCAGAGAGAAAAAGAGAGGGAGAGAAGGAAAGCAAGAAAGCAAGACACCTGGTCTGGGATTCAAACCATGGTTGGCCATGTGGGAATCCAGTGCCTCGACCACCACGCCACCAGCTGGACCACTGAACTACTTTTTACTACCTCTACTGCTGTCATCCTGATTCAGACCACTATCCTCTCACCTGCACTATTGTAATGGCCTCCTGAAAGCACCTCCTGGCTTGTAATCTTGTCTTCTGTCTCATCTAATCTCTGCACGCAACAAAAGAGAGATGTTTTGCAGCATGTCTTTTATCACTTAATTGTATTCTCTGTGGGTTTCAATGTAGTCTCAAATACAGTCCCCAAAGTAAGTCTTTTGGCCCCAGGGTCTGTGCTGCTTTACTTTGTACCCTAGATGTCTGACTGGGGTGGAGGTCTCATCAACGTGCCCTTTGGCTGCCACCTGCCTGGATCATCTAGTGAGAGTTTAGGGTCTCGCCCAATGAGCACAAGGATGTGCTCCTGGTTATCTGCCTAGAGACTAGCATCTGGTGGTAGCTCCTGCAGCGTTCCTGACATCAACAGTGACTCGCTCTTTAGGTCCATGCTGCTGGACTTTGCTTTTCACAGAGACTGGACCATGGTCCCCGAACCTCCCTGGACTCCCCCTGCAGGACCACCCACACATACATCTGTGAGTTTTTGAGAAAAGGACATACACTATAAAAGGGTGCCCCTCTGAGATGACCAATGGGACCAAGGTACCCTTTTATCTGGGCAGCTGTAAGGCACAAAGCTGGACTAACGGGCCCTGGCTGGACTCTGAATTCCAGCCTGCATGCTCTTTGCTGGGTATGTAATGCACACAACCATGTACCCAGCTCTGCGTCCTGCTCTACTGAGTACTGAATCTGAGCCTGAGCTTATTCCTTGTCTGTCTGCTCCCATGTCCTTTAGCTTCTTCTAGTTTATTCTGATTTAGACTCTTATTGTTAACCTGATGGTGTAAAAAAAAAAATACAGCAACCTATAAAAACCTAAATAGATAACACTGATTATATCACATTTGCCCATTCTATCAAATACCGCAATGAAATTCAATTTTAGCATTTACAGCAAAACCTGCCACCCGTTGGTAACAGTGCTTTCTTATATTTGATGTTTGCTGGTCTCTGAATCAGTTTTCTACTCTTTTTTTTTTCCTTTCCCCCAGAAGATGTTCACCTCTATAATACTATGTTTCTTCTTTTTGAATTGAGTTAGGTAAGGGAGTTTCCTAGTAGAATTTTCACTTTAGACCTAGGTCAGAATTTATCATCCCAGACTTCACTATGAAAAAGATAGAAACATAAAACTTGACTGCTTAAACAGTTGACCATTCTTGAAAGAACCAGAAAAGGGAGTCTAAGAAAAAATTGTGATTTGAGAGTCTAACATCCCAGTTCTTGGGGGAAGATGGTTATAGCAAGTGAGATCCATTTGGGAAAGGTGCAAAGAAAAGACCGGAGAAGAAAAAAGTGACTTGCACAAGTTGAATCACATTACATTTAACATCTGAAAACTAATCCAAAGAGAACTCTTTGTTATTTTGAATTGCAAGTTTAGGATTTTCAATGAGTTAGATCAAAGTGTCCCTGGTGAGAGCTAGAAGCACAAGTTTGAGCTTGCCATGAAGCCCCACCTGTTACTTCATGAAAACAAATTGAATTTTATTGTGTGAGGACAGTAGATGGCTTCCATGCCTTGATCACATGTAGATACAAGCTACCCAGTGATCTGGAGAGCACTGCTGTGTTTATGATTTACTACCTTCTCACAGTTCCACGATAAATACAGCATAGAGCACCTACGGCCCTAAGTGATCACACTAGTCTAACCATCAGATATGTATTATGTGGTATGGATAAATGTACTCATACATCTACATAGGTATCTAGGGACGATGAATGAATACACACATATACGTATGTGTGTGTGTGTATAATATGTATGAGTGTGTGTATGTATGTATGTATCTATCTCTATATATAATTCAGAGACAGAATTAAAATTTTATCAAGATGATTTCTTTTACATGATGCTTTGAAGAATGCTAAGTTCTCTTGAAAAGCTTTCACACAGCCAGAATTATGCTAAGACCTAAATATGATTCTTTTTTCCCCTTTTCTAGGCTTAATAAATAGAAACAATTTCTCTAGTGTGACTTGTCAAGAATGTAGGAAAAGTGCATTAAAAAATCCCAGACTTGCATTTTTCACAAGTGGTGAAGGAGCTAGAGTCTGCTCCTTGTATAACCGGTTCTTACATCTCCATTGTCTTCCTCTGGATGACTTCCTGTCATTCTAACCACTGGCCCAGCAGATGTGATGGTCCAAGTTGAAACTTGTTTAAGTTTGTACAATAGTACTACATAGTATGCTTCAAGGTTGTCACTTTTGGCAGACTTTCTGTGAGGCAGGACAGTGGGGACAATGGCCTACTTACTTGTATTTATCTTCTGGAGTGAGATGTGCTTTTCCAGTTGTCTCCGAAGTTTCACTTCTGCTCCATATTTTCCAGTAGTCCCGTTGTCAGCGAGAATGAAATGGGAATGCATGCTGTTGAGGACAGTGAGCTTGCTCATGGGATTGGACATGGTCTGATAGGGCCGGACAACCTGCAGGACACCAAAAGAAGGAAGCCAAAGTCAGAGAAGAAGAAAAAGATACAGAAGAGGAAACCAGACAGAGGAAAGAGAGAAAGAAGAAAACATCAGTTCTTTGGTACAGTAGGATATCCTACTCTCCTTCTAAGATTGCTTTGGGTAGAAGCAAAATTTATGGTAAAATTTTTGTTCAAAGCAAGATGAGGCTGAAAGAAGATTGGCTGATTTTATTTACTAGCTAAATTAATACAGAAACAAGAGTTTGTGCTTTCATCATATTCAGAAGCTGGCATGTCAATGATTATTCTGATATGGATCTTTTAGTTGCTAATGAACCAAAAATAATCTGAAACCTTAGTGATTTTGCTTCTTTTTTTCTGTTCTCTGTCATGTCCATACTTCAGTAGGCTTAGCAGAGTGATCGTGATCCTAGAGAATGGGGGCGGGAGGGGAGATTGGCAGGCTGTGGGCTGGGGAACACAGTGAGACCTTGTCTAAGAAAGAGTGAGGAGGCTAAGGGAGGAGGATCGTAACATCAAGATTTTGTCTACAAAAATGAAAACAGAGGCCAGCAGATAGCATGGCTATTATCACTGGACTCCCACATGGCCGACCATGGTTCAAGTCCTGGACCTGACCGCTTGAAACTCACTTGGGGAGAGTGTGTGTGTGCCTAAGATCCCACGAGGAGAATGGAGGAGAAGAAATTGCTACATGGCTATCCCCTGTCGGGGGTGATTTCTCACTTTCTCTCTCACTGTCTGTCTCTTTCTCCAGTGAGCATGCACCCTGAGGGAAAAACCTCTCAAGAAATAAAAATATAAAAATAAAAATACCCAACATAATTCCTATTATGAATCAGTTGCTGTATATATATTATCTTTATCCTTGTAAAAGATCCTGCAAAGTAAATGCCATGTTCATTTTGTAGATGAAGAAACTGAGAAGTGAAGAGGTAAAGTAAATTTTTCAAGAGTTTACTTATACATGACCAGAATTCACATCCAGCTCTGCTTGATCCTAAAATCTGTGCTTTTCCCTCACTTTCATTTCTGCACAGACCCAACGAAAATGTGAGATGATGTACTGGAAATCTACTCTTAAAATATTTACATGGGAACTTCACTCCACACTATGAAAACGGAACATTTAACCGGCCTGTTGTTCCATGGTCTCAGTGCAGCTAACACTGTATTGAATCATTGAAACTGACAAGACAGTACTAAATACTACTGGGTATTTATTTATGTGCCTTTGTGTGGTGTGTACATTAATTATAGAGTTGAGATCTTCTTGCTCTTTTTCACTATGTAACAACTCACCATGAAAAGCTATAGTAAGATTCAGTAATCAGTTAAAGGAATTTCAAAGTGATTTAGGGGGGGCAGTTTTCAATACTGAAAGTAAGTAATTTCTCATGTAAGTAATTTTTTAGAACTTGATGCTGACTTGAAACATTACATTTCCATGTGCCTAGCAAGTAAAATGTACTCAGTAAATAGTGAATGAATGAATAGGCAAACTAGAGATAGACATGCTTTGTTCAAAACTGAAAAAAATCCTTTTCCCTGAATTGTTTGGGAAATGGTCTAATTTAAATTTAAAATGTGTATATAATTCGAAACTTTCAAAATACCATTCAGTCCTATCATTTTATGTCCTATTCGCTAATGTAGCGTTAATATAATGTTAATTCATAGCTTCATTTTAGATGGCTCTACTGGTAAAGGAAGCCTATGACTTTTTGATTATCATCTCTAACAATCACATGGAGCACTATTCAATTACTCCCTTGTCTAGATGACTGAATGGGAATCGTTCCCCCCAATACAGAGAAAGTGGTTTGCTCGCCCCATCCTGAGCTCTTAATTGTTGGAAGAGTGGGTTGCTTGTGGTTGAAATTCCCATTTTGTTGCTACTCATTTTTGATCATAAAACATTCATTCTACAGTAGAGTGCAAGCTAATAAATATTAATGCTTTGTCAAAAGAGGCTTAGCAGAAAGACTTTCTTCTATTCTTAAAGTGCCTCTTCATTGTGCTTATGGACAAAAGAAAAGGCTTTAGTTATTGCTCTCTCTTTTATAACAGCAGCGCCCACAAGACTCCATGCAAAGGAAGGGGAGGACCTAAAGCAGTCCCCTGGGTTTTCTAGAGGGTTTTCTAGAGGTTAAACTTTCACACTGTGCATGGTAGTGAACCCAGATATTTGTGCTGAGCTGATAGATACAAACCCATGTCTTTTAATTTCTGGGATCCTATTGAAGACGGTCAGTGAAAATGCAATTTTCAGATAAACACAGGAATGAAAATGATCCTGAGCTAAGCTGATGTATTCACCATAATTTGAGAATAAAAGAAAACAATGAAATCATCTAACAACGTTCTATAGATGTTTCCTCCATTATTGGATTCTATGGACATCTCAGTCTTTTTACCCTTTCCCTTCTTTTTTTCTGAGACAAAGTTGAACAGCCATTTGGGAATTCTGTACATTGGCATCAGTCATTATAAGAGGGTTACAAGTTACAGTATCACTCATGAAATGTAATTTCTTCACCTAGAGAAAGATTCTCACTGCTTTTGGTCTTCAGAAAAGGCAAGTCAAATATTTTGATGAAGAATTTACCTGCTGAATGACAGGATATTAAAATCTGAAAAATAAGTAAAAATGTCCAAATATATTTTTCAGTCACCATTGGAAGGATGAAAATGTAAATTAGTATAGCTACTGTGGAGAACAATACGGAGTTTTCTCAAAGATCTACAGATGGAACTACCATATGATCCAGCAAGTCCACTCCTGGGTATCTACCCAAAGGATAGGAGTGCACTCAATACTTGCACACATATGTTTATTGCGGCATTATTCACAATTGCTAAGACACGGAACCAATCCAAATGTCCATGAATAGATGAATGGATTTAAAGAGTGTGACACATATACACTATGGAATACTTCTCAGCCATAAAAACCAAGACTGTGGCATTTGATAGAAAGTGGATGAATATGAATATGGAAGATCTATTGCTAAGTGAAGCAAACCAGGCTATGAAAGAGAGACATTGTATGTCCCCACTTAATGTATAACAAATGTCTACACTCAATGGCAGAAACTGAAAAACTGGAGGATATAGAAAAGCATGGAGAATGGTTATGGATACTGGAGACAGTGTGGGAGGAGGGTGGGGGTGAGACAAAGGGACGCAAGGAGAAAAATAAAGAGGAAGACATGTAAGGGACACAGAAATGGAAGATTGTCTGTTGATGGTAATGTGTATGATAATATCTTTAACTGGACTGTTGTGCAGTATGTTCATGCTGAGAAAATTCATTTTACAAGCTGTGGTCATATATAGTGATTGAACGTATAAAATAAATTTAAAAAAAAGAAAAAATCTGAGAATTTTGGAATGATCTTTTTTCCATGAAACATGGAAATGTTTGAGTCCCAGTTTTGCCAATAGCTGTGTGAATCTGTCTCACTTTTTTAACATGTAAAAGGAAAATGATAAAACTTTACCTCATGGAGATTAGTGAAGATTATATGTGTAGAGTACCTGGCACCATGCCCGGCTCCAACCAGCATTCTATAAATGTTCATTCCTTCTCTAGCTCTGCTCTATTTTACTAACTGTAAGTTGATTTTCTAACCACAAACTACTAATCAAAATGAAATGACATGGGCCCAGCAGGTGGTGTGGTGATTAAGGTGTTGGATCCCACATAGCCAGCTCCACATTGAAGTCCTGCGACTGATGCCTTGAAAAACATGCTGGCGTGTGTGCATGCATGCCCCAAGTCCCAAGAGAAGCCAGGAGGAGAAGGGATTACAGCATTTCTCACTTTCCTTCTCTTTGTCTCTATTTCTCTTTAGCAAGTGCATATACCCTATGACAAAAATCTAAATAAAATTAATTAATTAAAAATGATATGAAACCAATCATTAAATTTTATTTTTCATGACAATTTAAATCAATGTAAAGAAGGAAAAGAAAATCAACCATCTGTTGGCAAAAAATGTAGTGTTCTTTCTTTGCTCCATCTTTCCAAGTAGCTAAGAGGAGACTGATGGTCTGAATTACTTGTCAATTAACTACAAACTTGGAAATAACTTCCCAAATACTTCAGAGAAATGCATTTTGGTCTAACTTGCCTATGAAATCTATTTAGTATTCTTCAGAACAAACATGCCAGTAGTTTATTTTATTTTTGAGTTACAATTTGCATATCTACAGAAGATTTGCTGATCTTACTATTGTTTTCCAAATAGAAAAAATAATGTCTTTTTATAACATGAATACAAATGAACTGTTCCTTCTGATAAAATTTTGGAGATAATGCTGCTACTTTCATTGTTAAGAGCTCATAAAAGAGGATCCTTTTGAAAGCGTGTGTATGCATTCATATGTGTATGGTAGGAAAAACTGTGGGGACTAGCCAATGGCATGATGGTTACATTGCTGGACTCCCATGTAGTTGACCACAGTTCGAGCCCCAGACCTGGCAACTTAAAATTCACACTGGGCAAATGTGCATGCATGCCCAAAATACCGAAAGGAGAATAGATGAGAAGGGACTTCTGTATGGCCATCCCCCCTTGGGGGTGATTTCTCACTTTCTGTTTCTCTGGTGAACGCACACGCCCTATACTAAAAATCTCTCAAAAAAAAGAACAACTGTGACATATTGACAATTTTCATAACTTGTAGGCATACTGGTCACTGTAGCATGTTTCTCAGTTACAGTTTCCATAGAAAATTAAGTCCTAATGTCCTATAGCATCCATTGCATGTAATGGTCTCCTATGAATATAGGATAATCCAGGCTATGTATCATTTTTGGGAGAAGACAGTCACCCAAATATTTTTCTGTGTTCTGTAGTTCAGATAAGGAGCCTGGGATATGAAGCCTGAATGGTAACTAAAAGGTCTTCATATAGGTTGAGGTTTTATGATTGGTGAATACAGTATCTCCCTTTACCTGTAGGGGATATATTCTAAGACCACTAG